CGAATAGAGGTGTATCCAACGGTGGATTGCCGCTCTTTCACAGAGGCTTGCGACTTTTGTTTGAAATTTGGTAATTGCTACAACTTTTTCAAAACCGGAACATCAATTCCTCGGTGTTCCCTTCAAGCACTACAAGAAGACAATCCGCACAACCATCGTATCGTTGAGAAAGAGGTATCCACCGTCATTTCCAATGTATCTGTTGCCGTCGATTCTGATATCTCCTACGACAACACTGTTCTCTAATTAAATTCTCTCGTATCCAGATTACAGGGCCTCAAAATAAAGGCATGGACCAATCTATTTACAAGTATGTACAATCCTCACATTGCTCTTCGTTTTCCATATTCTTGTTAGGTTTTTGGTTTCATGTTTCTGAACAAGAAAAGAATGGTAATGTCAAATCATGTTCAATTTTTAGGATAAGGCAAAAGAAAGGTATAATACTCTCTGTTTACATGTGTGTATAATCTTCAAATTGCATACCTTTTTTTCCATATTTTTTTCTGTGTCCAAAATACACCTTGGAATAATATTTTTTTAAGCAAAATGTGTAGTTAAAAAATAAGGAAAAATTTTGGGGTTTGCTTGTAATAATATTTTATTTAATTTTGATAATTATTTTGAACGCAGTATGATGCGCGACCCATGTTCGCCATTTTGCATTGTTAGAAACTTAGAACATTTGGGAAATAAAGTTTGATCCCACGTTTGTAGTATCATTATGGAAATAGAAATGTCTCGTGATTTATTCAGCGACTCGTATAAAGTGTGGAAATGAACTTATCGTGAAAAAAAAGGACTCACTCGAACGGATTGCAGAGATTTACAAATTCTGTAAAGGTGCTCTTGGATGGAGAAGTTTATAAAAAGTTTCCTAAGGTGTCTCAACACATTTTTTCAAGGTGGAATAACAAGCAAACCATTTAGCACAGGATGAGTGTCATATGACTCATATCCATGCCCCATGTCCAATATGAGTTTTCCCTTCCTTCGATCTATAAAACTACACTAATCATTCATATCTAAAGCACGTTATAAAAAAAATTCTAGAATAACCGCTACAAATTTTAACTCAAAATGGGAACTTGTAGATCGCTTAATTTTTCAAGAGAGATTATATCTTATTTGATCGTCGCAGTTGAATCGATTGTTCCATTTATTCTAATCAATGTCTATTTGAAAATTCTTGTTAGCGTGATTGTCGGTTAAACTTTTTAATTTTCTTCATACGGAAGGTTGTTACCAAAAAATTATTAAAAAAAAAAAAAAGCAAGTGTTGAGAACAAGAATAAGTCCATATAACCTATAACCAAGTCCACTATAAACGATTAGTTAAATAGAGAAGCAAATCACCACTATGTAGGGACAACAATGCTGAACGTAAAGCAACTGGCAAAGAATTTTAAACGTAGGTGATAACGATGTTAAGAGCTCTGGACGCCAAGCAATCCGCCAAATAAGTTGGGTAAGTTTACAAGCATTTTGAACCAACTTGCAGGATTTAAAATGTTTAATTGTTTACAAAGTTAAACACAATGACAGAATTCAAATATAATAAAGAAAAGCTTAAACATTGTCCAAGTCTAGTAAAATAATAATAAACACCCGCTTAATGAATTGTGTAATAGGTAATTGGTGGACTAGTAGTAGCAAATGAAGTCAAGTCAAGTCAATGATCTAATATTTGATTAACTTTAGGAATGATCAAGGAAAAAGCAGCAGCAATTGTAGGGAAAAAAAAAAAAAGAGATATGGGCTGATAATGATTGATTTGTCTTGTACATCGAAATCATATATTTTGAGTGGGACTCGTTTGGTTATTTTGAAAGATAATGATTGATTTATGTTGTACATCGAAATCATATATTTATTTGACAAAATTGGTGCTCAAATGAATCAGAAATTGAAGCTCACAGTGTGCAACTTAAAAAGAGTTTATGTAGGTGAGAAAATTAGAAATGTGTTTGTCCCACATAGGAAGTGAATGAAAACAAAAACCATTTTAAATATGATTGCACTTTAGAAGAGTGTAATCATGTGTAGCATATAAACTCTCTCCACGTGCGCGAGCAGGTGGGTGCAAATAATGGACCGAAATAAGCTTTGGACCTTGAAATCCGGAGTTTAAATTGTTGCATATACGGTATCCAGTACTGAAATACTTGTCTAACAGCTATGAGCTCGTGATACTCGTGATTTGTTTGGACTATTTGAGGGCTACAAGGAAATTTTAGGAACTTCTAAAAGGATGATTATATTATATTTTTAAACTTATATAAATCTACTTAAATAGACCTATATAAAATTAAATTAAATATATTATTTTAAATTCATTCACTAATATTTATTTTCATTAAAATTTTTGACCTTTTTACATTCTTTTAGAATTTGTATCCACTATATCCAAAAGGGGAAAAGTCATTTGTATCCGAGCGTTTACACGCCCGGGTACACGGGCCCACTACCCCCCTGACAATGAGGGGGCCCCGAGGTGAATTAAATAATGGCAGGCCCCCCTCAATGTGAGAGGGGGGCGTGGGGTCGGGTACACGCCCGTGTACCTGTAGCAAGGTTCATCTAAAAGAGGCATCCCCTTATGAATAGTGAAAATGGGTTGCCTAGTAAATGTTGCCAGCCAACCCTCTCCTGTTCATCTCACTTCCACCGCCTCATCCACTATCCATCCACTATCAAAAACACAGTTCCATTATCTGAATCCACAAACTAGCCACGTTTTCCGAGCCAAGCCGTTTTCGATTTCAGATTTACGCTTCCGGAAATAGCTTCCGAATACTATAAATGCGATCAAAGCTCCAATAATCACGGAAAGTAGTATAATTGGAAGAGCCGCATTGATTTGAGGTTTTTCAGTCGTTTATGAGTTTTCAGATTAAAACTTTGACGATCGGATTAGTCGATTAGATTTACTGAGAATTAAGGGTTCAATTTATGGGATTACAACGGTGAGGGTCGGTCCTCTCTTGCTGTGTTACCCATTACCCGGTGAACTCCAATTCTTCAAAGTTCAAACCCTTCCTTCAGTAATTCAGTTTAGGCTTTGCCTTCGCACACAGCTTCGGACCTTCAGTCAGATCTTCACTTCTCCTTTCCCTTGCTCTACTGCTGCTACCCACGCAGTGACTCCACGGGTGATTTGTGATTTTTTAATTTATGATAAATAAGTTTAGGGATTTTAACAATTGGTAAAAGATAAAAGTTCAATAATTAAAGTTTTTTTTCCTTTTTGCTGAAATTTGAATATTCTGTTGGCAATTTTGTAGATTTCCTAAGTTAGTGCAAAGCATAAACTGCAAGTCTTCAAAATCTTGG